GATTTTGTCATGTCTGAGCCAAAACCAACATATAACAGAAAAACATAACAAGATAAAATGAAGATGGAGAAACTATTACTATTACTAGCAACTCAATTTTCACATTAAGTCTTTACTTTTTGATCATTATCTGTACTCTGTCTCAGTTTCCTGTTACAAGCAATTTTCCTATCTTTAGAGTAATAATGAACGATTTCCACTGACAGCAAAAAGGATCTTGAATAAAATTGCTTAGCCTGAACTGAGTAGCAGAAGATAACATGACTTCTTCTCTGCTCTTAGTTTACTCCATAATATTGCTTATTTGCTCTGCTCTGCTGCAGGAAAACACACCAGAAGTGAACGCCTTATTCTCCCTGTCCAAGCCCTCTGACCAGGAAGTGTCTAAGCTTGATGACAAACATCTTCCTGCAATGTATGTTTAAAATACATAAAGTTAAACTGGGACCAAATGTACACCAGAAATCAGTTACTGCAAGCATAAGCCATGCTTTGTGCACAGTTACTGGTCAGAGATCAAGGGATGTAAAGCGACAACTATTTCTGAGTCGTCAAAAAGCCATAATTGCTCAATAGTGACCTGCACACATTCCTCCTGTAGTGACCTGTTTAATTTTCCTTCCTAGTTTGTGGCATTTCCTCATTTGGAGAGTCCAGCTTGTTGTCCCAGCCATAAAGAACTACTTAGGAACAGCCACACCTACCTGATGAGTGACACCTCTGACCCCTTTATTAGATTCAACTCTATTATTCATGCTACATTTTCTTTTCCGCCTCCTCTTCTTTTCTCTCCAGCGAACACAGAAGCAATGAGCCCTCACTCAGTGCTGTTGGAGGTTTTATATTTACAGCAGTGCCAATCTCTTTCCTCCTTTTGAATAAATGTTAGATACTGTCTTTTAACCCGCATCTTTATTTAAAAATGGAGGCATAAAACAGAACAGGATAAACAAAAGGACAGGTTGATATTTGCTTTCCACACCTAACAGAACAAGATGCATTTCTGATATCGATTCTGAGTAGCAATTTATCAAAAAGGCATAGAAGGCACAAAGCACACACTGCATCAAAAATAGAACTTCTAGAGGTGTTGGTTTGGTTCCTAAACCAGAAGTCCACACAGGTTTTAAAATAACAAATGGCTACTGTATTCATTTTACAGGATTTTCTATTACTTCATAGCTGTATGAATTAAAATATTCATGTCCCAACTTTGTTCCCTGCCAAGCACTGATATTATTTAGTAGTGGATGGGGAGCTGGACTGTATTTGTTCAGTGTGGCAAAGGCTTCTTTGCCTACCGCACTGAAATTATTTTGAGATTTACAGAACATCTATGTAACCATAGAGAAAGCAGCTTTCCAGACAGGCCAGACCATGCTGTGAAGGGAGGCAGTGCTGACTCATGCAGACTGAATTATGGCAAATAAAACTTTGCCAACTGCTGAGCAGACACAAGGGTTTTACTTGCTATCCCTAGCTGCAGTGCAGGCATGCAGAAATGCTCAAGCACACAGGAATTTCACAAGCGCCAAGTGCTGACAATACCAGAGAAATGGGGTTAAGCAAGGTTATTTGTTGCAATTTTACAATCCTTATGCCACAATTAGTAAATAACACCTTGGTAAGACAGAGTTGCAGGTTCATTTCAGACACAGTTTTTTCTCCACGTTCAAATTTTGATGCAAGCCAAGAAGCTACTCTGATCCCAATAGGCTGGGATCCCTACTGCATTAGCTACAATTTTTTTTTTTTTTCCCATAAATCTTTCACTTTTAGGAGCTAAAACCATGTTATTTCATACATACTGTTGGGTTCTGAGGACCAGTACTACTTTTGAGTAGTGTACCTCTTGTGTACCAGTTTTGTGAGGTTCTCTGGAATTACATGTTGCTTTTAAGGGATGAATAACATAAATATTGTGGAAAATTTGAAATAAATCTTCTCAGATTTCATAATGTTTCATGAGTTGCTGCAAAAAGGAAATTTTTTCAGATTCATGGATTTCTGAAAAGATGCAGGCATGCTATAAAACATATACTACGATAAAGATAGGCAAAACAGTGTAAAACAGTAAAGTGAGTTTATGATTAATAGCATAATTAATAAAAACAGGGATTCATTGAAAGGGCAAAGAGATCACTGTAGTTTTAAGCTGGCTTATGGAAGTCTACACAAAAGCTCTGTGTTGATGGAACACAGAAGTTCGCCCTGACTGTAGCTCTTGCTTGCCTGGTGTAACGCTGAGTGTTTGAGGTGCTGCTGCCCCCATCTGCCTGACATCCTGCTGGACTTTTCTATGAAAAACGGAAGCAAAAGCAAATTCTTCCACCAGCTGCAAGTAATAAGGTTGTGCTGTACCTCAAATCAGTGACAAAGTTGTTGCATTTAGGGGGTTTGATCTAATTTTACAGGCTTTCCCCAAAACTAGAGTTGACCTCTTAGGTTTATTTATTTATTTATTTATTTATTTATTTATTTATTTATTTATTTATTTATTTATTTTTGCAGTTGAAAGTTGTTTTTGACGAGAAGTAAGTCTGTCAGAGCAAGTAACTTTGTAACTTACATTGACATTAAAGTTTAACAGAGTTCAAGCCAGAGCTGAAATCGATGGAGTGTGAAAAGAGATCATACTATCACCTATTAATGCTTCACTTGAATTTTCATGCAAGGTTTGTTTTGCTTTTATCCTGCTTCTTGCTTTGGAAAGAGAAATCTATAACAATTTGCTGGTCTACTTCACTGATCTACTCTGTATCTTTCTGAAAATTCATTTGCCAGAGGAATTTTGGTTACATAGTCACTAAAACACTTAAGAACAAATGATTCTAATATTTGTGACCAATAAATCCTCACCTGTTAAAGTCTGTTAACTTTAACCTTCACGCAAAAGGCAAAATTATCCTTTTGTCCTGTATCAGCAGTGTCAGGAAAAGGGTTTTTACTGCCCAATAAGATTAATCCATTGGCACTTAGCTTTGACAGTCCTTCCAAGAAATACCATGCTGCGTTGCTGAGGCTGAATTTGATTTTCCTCTTCTGAACTGGGATCATCATGGATTGGATGCCACTGCCCAGATCAGTATCTTGGCACTTAGTGGGCATATTAACTGGAAGGACAACTGCAAGCATGGCAGTTTCAACCTGCAGGAAAGACAAAGAGTACAAGGGTTGTGTTCCCTGTTTCTGCCATGCTGAGGTCCTGGGCCATTTTGTCTTACAAGGAGCCAGCTCAGTCCTATCTGAGTAGTGTTCACTAGACTGACAGGATTTAAAATCAGATGAAAAAAACTTTAATACAGAAACACAGCCAGGGAAAGAAGCTCTGTCATTATTTTAAGGATGTTAAAGGTTCCTGGTAAAACTCTCATCTTTGCTTGGCTTGATGAAGGCTTCATCAGTGCTGGAGTGGTAAATGCGAAACAGGAAACTTATGGACATTATTCCACGTAAATCCACATCTGCAAACTTTGCCCAGGTCACAATGGAACAACTCAATACACCTGTGCATCCCCAGACTATTTTTGACTTTACTCTTCAGTCAGAGAAACTACCCAGGGAAAGTCCATATCAATTCCACAGCAATAAGGCAGTTTTGAATCATAGCCTGCAATAAGTCAATTTAAACACAAATCCATGGATAGGTTTAATTTCAGCATTTGCATAAGTACTTTTATTTTTCCACCAGACCCGCACCCTTTTAGAGTGTAGAAAATAAATAATGCTGAAAGGTGAATTGTGCTTCTTGAATTGCTGAAGTTTTTATTATCTTCCTTATTCACTAAGTAGTCTTGGGTTTTATTTAATAATCATTCAGAAGCAGTGCTGAATAAAAATATATTTTAGTTGATTTTCTCTTGGGTTTTTATGTTATTCTTACTGGAACTGGTGCTTCACAAATGCAGCTTTTTCTTCACAAGATTCCTGAGGCAAGTTAATATTAGCATCTTCATCTTACAGATGAAGAACAGAAAGGTGGGGCAATTTGAGCAAGAACATTTCAGACATTTGCTATTCTTGGATACTTCTCTTGGGACCCAAAGGCTTACTTGAAGGACTTGCTCTGCCTGGTTTCACGGTTTCATTTGGAGTGGGATGCACTTTCTTTCCACAGAGCAAATCACACACAGCTCAAGTCAGCACGGCAGAATTCAAAGGCTGGTACAAGCTACAGTGCAACTCCTTTCCAAACAAACCAATTTGTCATCACTTGTCACATTCCCACCTTCCTTCTGTTCCCAGCCATATGTTCCCCTCCCCTTCCCCCAGCACTGCCACCTGCCTAGCTGCTCCTGTGAGCTTAGCCTGAGGAAAGGGAAAAAAAAAAGTGTGATTACTTTTTGACAACAAGCTACAGAGTCAGTTTTGCATTTACAATAATAATAGAATCATAGAATGGCTTGTCTTGGAAAGGACCTTAAAGATCATCTAATTCCATGGGCAGGGACACCTTCCACTAGTCAGGTTGCTCAGAACTGCCTCCAATCTGGCCTTAAAAAGCGTATTTATTTGTTTTTAGTGTATGTTACTACTAATTCTAAAATAGATCGTTTATTTATGTGTAGCTAGGCATTAGCAATTACATTTCAATTCACTATTAATTTACATAATACGTAGCAATCACAAAAGTTTATAAATATGCATTAGTAATTATCGCCAAATAACTTACATATAATTTACGCATATTAAAATAACATATTATGATACATTATTTATAAATTATATTTTATAATACCGGAACTCCCTACATTTTCTATGGTACTGTGGAGGAGGGGGAGCACCCACCCAGCACAGCAACCCCAAACACTGAGAGGCTCACGGCTAGTTACATTTTTAGGCATCAATGAGTCACCAAAAAACGCCTTTTACGTTTTTTCACACGTCCCCTTCTCCCGCTCCATCCCTCCGTCCCGCCCACCGCGGGCGGGGCGCGCCGGGGTCGCCGCGCGTGCGCGCCGGGACGCGCGTTGGGATCGCGGCGATTCCGGGAGGGATTCCGGGAGGGATTCCGGGAGGGATTCCGTGGAGCGATTCCGTGGAGCGATTCCCGGGGGCCATTCCCGGCAGCGATGTTCCGCCGGCCCCCGCGCAACTTCCGCGGCCGGCGGCGCGCAGCCTCCAGCGGCAGCAGCGAGGGCGAGCCCGAGCCGCGGGCGGAGCCGGCCGCAGCCCCGTCCCCGGACTCGGGCGCCAGCTCGCCCTCGGAGCGGGAAGCGGAGCCCGGGGCGGCCGGGGGCGATCCCGGCGCGGAGGGGCCGCTGCCTGCCGGGGAGCCGGCCCGCAGAGCCGGGGCGGGCACGGGCCCGGGGCAGCGCCGAGCCGGGCAGGAGCTGCTGAGCTTCGGCGGCGAGGAGGAGCGGGAAGGTGAGGAGCGGTCGTGTGTGTGTGTATGTGTGTGTGTGTGTGTGTGTGTGTGTCTGGTGTGTGGGTGTGTGTGTATCTGCGTGTGTGTGTGTGTGTCCCGCAGAGCAGGGCTGGAGCTCTGCCTTGGCTGCCCCCTCAGCGAGCCCCTCCTGCCTCTCGCTGTGAACTCACCCAGCCGGGCTGTGTCTGGGGAAGGGCTCCTGGCAGCGCTTGCACCATAAACCCGTGCTAAAGGACGGGCTAGGCCTGGCAGAGAGCGGGTCTTGTCAGTCCATCTGGTTATCTCGACGCGGGTGCCAAGAGAATGGTGCTGGGCTCACTTCAGTGATGCCCAGCATAGGATGAGGAGCAGTGGCCTTAAACTAAAACACAATAAGTTCCACCTCAACATGAGAAAGACCTTATTTACATCAAGGGTGGCAGAGCACTGAACAGCTGCCGAGGGAGGGCTGCAGTCTCCCTCTCTGGAGACATTCCAAACCCACCTGGACACATTCCTGTCTCCCCTGTTCCAGCTGCCCCTGCCCTGGCAGGGGGGGTTTGCCAAGGTGCTCTCCAGAGGTCTCTTTCAACCCTAACAATTCTGTGATTCTGTGAAAAGTACTTTGATAATTACTTATGTCCACATTCTTTCGGCTGGAAAGCATCTGAAATCTTGCAACTGGAGAAAACCAGTACTGTGTAGTTCCATGATGAGCAAGCTTAAATAATGAAACTTAAGTGTTTAATTGACACTTCTGGGCTGTTGCTGTTGTGGTTGATGAGAAGACAGCCACCTTGGTGGGGACAAACTGCAGAGAGACCCTGCATTTCAGCAGTGCAGTGATGCTGTGTAGAGGAGGCTGACCTGGAGTTTTTACCAGCTGGTCCATCATGAGTGATGAAGCTGCTGTAATATTTAGGATTAATCCAGCCAGAACTGAAAGACTGAACATAGTCCTTAGTGCTGTGGTCTTGACATGTTGGTGTTTGGTCATAGGCTGGACTTGATCTCAGAGGTCCTTTCCAACCTAATTGATTCTGTGATTCAGAACTTCTGCTGTGCACACACATAGTTTACATGCACTTTTGTATGCAGTACATACATATATATGTGTGTATATTGTTGGCTTTATTAATGTTACTCAGAATCACTTTGTTTTATCTGGTAGGTGAAGAGTTTTTTAAAATTAAAAAGCCATCCTTCAACGAAGTAACCTTTAGAATTAAAAAGAAGGAAAGCTTACTGCCTGCACAGACAGAGGCTGAAGAAAGCAAAAGTAAGTACTTCTTTTAGTTAAACATTTTATGAAATATGTGAAAAGTGATGTAAAAATACTGCTGTTAGATATTTTTTGCTTGTTAATTGAACCCAGAATTATACTTACAATGTTAGTGTACAGGTTTATAATTGTAACGTATTTGTGCTGAAATTATTTTCAGTTTGACCTTGGTAAAAGATTATCAAAACTTGGAGGCTGTTCTTGAGAAAACCTGATTATGCAGAACCATGTACTACATCAAAGTTAACAAACTTTTGCTAAGTTTGTACTTCAGCATCATATGTTTCAAACTATGGGCCAGGTGTCCACTGCTTATTGCTGTCAGAATGCAGTTTATCTGAGTATTGGCATTGACGAAGATGTGAGCTTAGTAGCATTTTGTCTGATGAAACTTAATGCAAACATTATTAAATTGTGTGCTCTTACAGCATTTAAGTGTTTTAATTTAATGCAGTCAATAACCTTGATTATTCTGGTAGTATCCCTATTTTCATTGAAATACAGTCAGTTGCCCAGAGAGGCTTTGGACTCCCTATCCCTGGAAGTTTTCAAGGCCAGGTTGGGTGAGGCTGTGAGCACCTAGGCTAGTGGAAGATGTCCCTGCCCATGGCAGGCGAATTGGAACTAGATCTTTAAGGTGCCTTCCAACCCAAACCATTCTGTGGTAAGTTTCCTATTGGAATATTTGGAGTTTGTGTGTTTTAGAAAGAAATTAATCTAAAAGTTCTCTTTATTTGACACCTCTGTCAATTCACAGATATGGTTATATTTGCTAATGTTAGATAAAAGTAAATTAGATTGAGATTGGGCAAGAATTCCCTTTGAGGTTGTGATTCAGCTGAGATAGTAAATTTTCTTAGCAACTTCTTGTAAAAGCGTATCATATTCTTATAGAAGGTGGTACATTCTATTGTTCAGTAATCTTATGATTTACTGAAACTGTAGTGGCAGATGAAGAGAAATCAATACTTTTAAAGGATTTGATAATAACTGGAGACAAGATAGATATAAATGTTTATAGTTTAAGAGCGCCCTCGTTGTTAATGCTTTTAAAAAAGTGCTTTCCAAATGCAGTTGTTCAAGTCAAGAATCCAAATATGCTGTGAACAATCAGAATATTATTAGTTGTTATCTGAGAGCTGATCTCATTGCTTTTGTACATGTAAATACACTCTGTGTCTCAGAAGGACTTGTAGTCTTTCTATGGGAAGCATCACCAAAGATGCTTTTATTCAATACAAGAATTGTCTTGTAAATGACTGTCTTGGAATGTTACAATTTGACATGTTTTTATTTGAACAGCTGGAAATAGACAAGTGACCAGTCTTTGCTGCAGCAAGGTGTAAATAATTTCTGGTAACCAGTTATGGCACATCATATTCCAGCAGCTGAAATAATGGATCATACTTTTTTTCCCCTATAATTAAGAAATCTGTCAGTTGGAGCCTGGAGTTGGCAACACCAAAGATACTCATGAACAGGATGAGGACAATGAGGATGAAACTTATTCTTCACTGAATGAAGATTACAACAGCTCAGACTCTGAAAATGAATCCAGCTCTCCACAGAGGAAGAAGGATTTATCACCGGGTTAGTTCCCTGGCTTTTTTTAAGCTATTTTAGAACATTTTGTGTTTGAAGTACATGACAAGTTAGGTAAGATGAGTTCCATACCTAAGGTATGGGCATCTGTTTATCCTGAGTCAGGGCTACCCTTTTGTAAGAATAGTGGTTCCCCCTCATTTTTAGTTGCAAACATTTGTTGTCTTTCTGTGCTAATTTTGGGAATGGAGCAGAAATTATAAGCCCTGGTTATAGAAGAAAGGCAGCAGAAAATTGCTCTTTAGTGTTGCGCAGTTCCCTTCATGAGGTGAAAATAAAACCTTGCTTTGAGGCTGAGAGCCACTTTTTTCATCTCCTTATATTCTACGTGGCAACCATTGTAGAAAACCATCTTGTGTTCTCTATCCATAGTTGTACAGTGATGCTGAACAGTGGTGATGATTTGCATTAGATACAGAGTGTTGCTTTTAGTCTTTTCCTTAGATTTTCTCTCTCTTTGATGCAGGCAATATCCCCAGTGCAGCTCACGTTGAGGCTGCTCGGAGGAAGCGTCACTTAGCCAGGACAGAGGCTGATTATCTTGCCCTGGATGTTTCAAACAGTTCTCAGGTCCCTCAGAGAAGAGGAAGTAGTGATTTAGAGAGTGAAGATGAGTCTGAAACAAAGCATCTCGATTTTGCTCCTAAAATGAGAACTCTTAGGCAGAGGATGACTGAAGACATGGGTGAGTTTGTGGTGTTTCTCCCTGAGGTTTTGTTTTAGTCCCTGGAGCATGTGAGACTTGTCCAGTAAGGAGTGAGGCTTTGCTCCTCAGGGCTCTTGGAAAAAGGCTGTACAGTTGGTGCTTGAGGTTTATATGGGTCATAAAACTGGTTAAGGTCTCACTTGTGGTGCTGCAGGATACTTTGAGAAATGTTTGCAAAATTATTTTTGGCCTTGTTGACTGGAAAAAAAAAGGCCTTGTAAAAGGCACATTTACAGTGAATAAAGTTACTGTAAGTCTTGCCTCCTGCTTCTGGTCTGGTCTTCTAAGTGATCTTCCTGCACTGGCATTATAAATTCAAAAAATGAAAACCAAACAAACAGAAATAAACAAACCTACTACATGCAAAACATAACTGGCTTTTTTTTTTTTTTTTTATTCCCTTGGAGCTGCTTATAATGTTGTTTATGAAGCATGGGTTTACTTTAGTATTTGAATAAGGGCTATAAGGAATGCATAACTATGAACAGAATCTGCCATTCAAATTAATGCTAATGAGATGTTTTTGTGTCTGTAGTTGAATGTATGTTCTGGACTACTCAAGGGTTTGTTGGGTGTAATGTCATAGTCTATACTTATACTCTTGTTTACATGTATTATGCATGTAAACTTTGCTTTGAGGCATAAAACCAAGATGTTTGTGTGCCTCTTACTGCAGTAGTAGTTGTTTGAGAAACAGTTGGGGAAATTAATGTTAGTGTGAATCCTACAAATCCCAGTAGCCTTTTCCAAGATTTCCTTCCCTTTCAGTTTTGCAGTCCTCCATCTTCAGGTTTTTCATCTGCTGTTTTTTGTGTGTATCACTTCTCAGTATTGGCTGGGAGACCCATTGTTGGTTTAGAAGGAGGAGAAAACGAGAGGGGAAAAAATAAAGGGTGTAGTTAGATCTAATAACAGTTGTTTTAACTTCCAGTGTCTCTGGGTGATGCATCAAGTGACGATGAAGCCAAGTGGGAAGAACAGCAAATAAAGAAAGCTGTTAAACTCTCTCAGGTGACATATGCTTTCCTAACCATTGTAAGTTACTTTATGCTTATAGGCAAGAGAGCTTGTTTGGAGTACTGTTGTATCTCTGTTCTACCCTCTCATTAGGGAAGATTTTAGGAAGATATTCCTTGATTCTTCAGGGAAAGATGATTACAAATATGGGAAGATGATAACAAAAATCTGTAATCTCTGGCTGTTGAGGAGTGTGATGATGTCAGCCCCAAAGGCAGGTCCTGTTGTTATAAGAAATCACAAGGTGCTGAACTCTGATTTTTTGCTGCCATGCAAGGGATCTTGAAAGGAAGAGTATGCAAATGATACAAATGTTGCAAAGTTGCAAAACAAAAATTATTCTTTAATTTTGCTAAATTTCTGTTGAGTGGCAATCTGAGAGCTCTCTTCACAGTTCAGCAGAATGCTGTCTTTTCCTCAGTAAGTAATTGGTAAAAATAAGCTATATTCTGATAAGTGCTGGAAGTTTTGGTTCTGGCTTGGATCACTTACTCTGGGTCAGACTTAGGAGTATCTGAATAACCAGCTCTTTATTGAAGTTGGAATTGACAGTTGTAGAAATTTTTTCAATTTGGGGAGTAGAGGAAAAAGAGAAAGTTACATCTTTCTGAGACTCGTGTTCAAATCCAGTATGATGTTAGTCCTCATATTCCACTGCTTATGAAAAAGTTAATTCTACTCTTCAGGAAACAGCAGCAATTTATAGCTGTAGACCTTGTTAGTTATGGATTTAATGTTTGAATTGATTGGGTTTTGTCTAGATTTTTTTGTGATTGAAATATGTATTTTTGTATCAGATGTCTAGTATTCAGATGATGTTTTGTTGATCTGTAGAGTTGCAAAGAGAGCAACTGTGTAAATGGTGTATTAAAAATTGACATTTCTTGTAGGAAATTTGTGATGATGCTTCTGTGCATAAATACCAACCAACCAAACCCAAGTCTGATACCTCTGTTTCTCTACCACCTGTGAATTTGGAAATTGTGAAGAAGAGATTGACTGAAAGGTAACTCCTTAACTTACGAGTTGTCTGAGTTTTTGTCACAGAATGAGACAACAGCTCTGAAGTGTTACTGTTTTTTCAAGAGTGTTGAGTTTTCTTTGGGTTGTTTTCAAGTGTAATGATGTCTAATGGAGTCCTACAGGTTTTTTGCTTTATGTAGCAATGCTTTATTTCAGGGGAGCATTTGGACTTTTTAAGAATGTGTCTGTCAACTTGAACTTTAGAAAGTAAATTCACTTATTTGGCAGCAGATTTTTATGGTTACTGGCAGTTCTTGATGTTACATTTACCCTGAAAGCAGAACTTCACTGGGGGCAGGTGGAGCTGGCACTCCCGATTGGAGTTTTTATTTATAAGGCTTTCCTGTTTCATCTTCCCCAACACAGTCCTCCAATGGTAGTTCTTATACCAGCTGTAAAAATAGCCCAGTATTTCCTAAAGCAACCTAAGTTCTCTACAGCCTGTTCAGAACGTGCCTGGATCTTTTTCTTTAGTTGTGTGCCAGGCTGTGACTTGTCTTGAGCAGCTCAGCTGCTGTGTGGGCAGCTGAAGTGTCCTGGGTTGGACATGGGAACCTCCTAGAGGGTGTGTGGGAAGGACAGCTGGGGTCAGGCATCTCAAGGTAAGCCATCCCCTGTCATCCCTCCCAGCACTGGGAAGCAGCTGTTCAGATAAGTTTAGACAAGTAACTTAATACAAGTGAAACATAAATTGTGCTGTGAACTTTCACCAGGCTCTCTCAGTGTAATCTTTGCTTTGTACAGACCATCCCTGCCGCGTTTATTTAGAGAAGTGAAACTAAGTTGGACTAAATATTTTTGTGGAATTGTATGCTTTCTTAGCTTTAGTCACCTGAAGGGAATTGAGTTAACTGAGCAGGAATTTATGAATAGAATCAAATAAGAAAACATAAGAATTCAGCTGTCAAGAGTGGGAAACTTGTCTGGAAAACAGCAAGAAAGGGAAGGGGAACCAGTTTGGTGTACAAACAAAACAAAATCTGTTTTGTTTGTAGATGTTTTTAATATATTAAGTGCTGAAATAGATTAATATTTTTTCTTTTTAATTTGTAGTACAATAGAACACAATAGCTTAGTTCAGCTATTTTCTTTGGGAATTGTTCAGTTCAGGGAGATGAGCTAAACTGTGGTCTGTGCCTTGATTCTGTTATAGACTTGCTCAAACTGAGTAAACACATAGGGATATATAAGGGGGGAAGGCGTAAAAAAGAGAGGAAGCAGAGTTGTAATATATGTAAATGTTTGTGTGCTACCTGTCTAGTAGAGACAGCTGTAGACATATAGATTGTGTGTTTATCACACAATAATAAGAATTGTCAGTTGGTTTGTATTTAATAGTGAGCACATTGTGAATGCTTACAGGTACTTCTGTCCATGTAACTTGTTAACTGGTATGGACATGCTGATGTGGGCTGTAGTTTTTACCAGATTACATTGGGTCGAATCTATTTAATAATGGGGTACTGTGTAATTTTGGCTTTTATGTTTTTGGAAAGTGTGGTGTATTGAGGAGCTCAGGTAAAATATCTGTGGTGCTGGTGCTTTCAAAACCAGCACCACATAAATGACATTTGGGTTGCCAAAGCATGATGTTTGTGCTTCTGTAAATGTTGGCATGGGTAAATCTTTCAGTGCTGCTCAGGTCAAATGCAAGTGCTATTATTAGCACAGGCAAAGATTTTGTATGTGATTATAATGGGAAAAATGTTTTGGAGTGCATCAGCTGTTAAGTTGGCAATAGTTCTGATCGTCTGGGTTTCTTTCTTTTAGGATAACATCCTTACAGGATGTGCACCGTGCCCACCAGAGAGAGTATGAAAAATATATGGAGGATATTGAGAGCTCAAAGATGTCTGTCCAGGAGTTGGAGAAGTCTTCAGATGCAGCTCTGAATTACAAATTCTACAGGACCATGAAGACATATGTAGAAAACTTGATAAACTGTTTGAATGAAAAGGTATGTATATTTTCCAATTTTTTTTTAAAGATGATAAAGGTGTATTCTGTCAGTCAAAAAAGAGAGATACCACCCAGTTAAAAATCAGTTATATCAGAATCATAATTAATTTTAATTTAGTGTCCCTGTGCAGTTTTGGATTTCTTCAGGTAACTCTAAAGAGAAGAAATGTTACTTAGTGAATACATTTTCTTCAATAGCTAGTGCCTCAAAAGCAAGCTGCAATAAAACAAGGGACACCAGTGGTGTCCTGGTGAGCCCTTTCGTATGAAGTCTTGGTCCTTGATATGTAACATGTTTGTGTTTTCAGCCTGAAGAACTCCCATGACCAGGAACTTGTCAACCTATGACACTTCTGTTCTAATTTTACAGTTGTACAAAAAACCCATGGAAATTAATTTTTGCTCATTCTTGTGAGATTTAAATCAATTGAAAGCCTGATTAGTGTTTGCTGTATTGCAGCTGAAGGACATAAATGAACTGGAATGGGCTGTGCATGCCCTTCTTCAGCAACGAGCCGTGAGAGTAGCGAAGCGAAGGCAAGAGGAGCTGAAAAATGAATCTGCTTATATTCAGCGTGTGACAAGTCAGTACAAAGTTCAAATTTTTCAGTGAGAAAATAACTTGTCTTTGAGCAGAAATACAGTTCATTTTTGGGTTAAGATTTTAATTTTGACTTTTGATCTCCTTTCCCCTTCCCATTGTCAGTAGGTGTGTTCTACTGCAACTCATTTGAAATTATTAGCTGAGTAATGCTTATGATACTGTTTTTCTCTGGTTTAATTTCTCTGAACATGGCATGACCAAGTACCTTGTCAATTTTTAATTGTTCATTTTCCCATCAATATTTAAAAAGAAAAATGGGAGTCAGTTTTCCAGTAGGTCTCAAGTTGCAGAAAGCTTGCTTATTATTGAATTCTGTAAATATCTGAAAAAGCTGAGTGTGTAATTGGCAATATCACACTTACCTGAGGGTGTCTGTAAGGCTATGTGTGTGCCCAGATTGGAGATTTCAAACCAGGAGATGACACCCATGTTGCAGAGCATGAAGAGAGAAGCTACACTGTGTAAGGGTTTTATCTAAAAGAAAACTGTGTTTCAGTCACTGTATGAAAAATTAGCACAGTTTTCTCAGCTTGTATTTTCTTTATTCACCAAGGTATTGTTTATGTGCTGTGTGAATCTCTAGCTGCTGCTATTTAAAAAGCCCAAACAAACCAGACCTCCAAAATCAAACCCTTTAAAACTGTTCAGGCAAAGCTGAGAGCAATATGCTTGGAGCTGCTGGGAACAGATGGAGGGCAGATGCACTGGATCCTGGTAAATACTAAATCATATGGGTTCAGTCTTCTCACTTGAGGGGATAAACTGCTTATGAGAGAAAGTAACAGCCTGGATGGTTTTGTAAAATGGGGTGGCAAACTGACAGCGGGTGTAGGGAGAAAAGGGTAATGCCGTGGCAAGAGTTGCTATTAAATGATTTTAGCTCCAGCTCATTACAAATGAGACTGCACTTACATGTTTAGCAGCACATAGCATTGTTTTTTATGTTCCTAATTGTATTTAATATAGTTGAAAGGCTGTTTTTTCTTACACGTACTTCAGTAGTAGTACACCCTTTCTCTTTGGCATGTTTTGTGCATCAGCCAGTCATTAGTGCTACAAGGAATTTACTCTGACTTACTCTGGATACTGTTAGAGTTTTGAATAGGTTTGTTCTTTTGTTGGCTATTTCCAAATTAAAAAAAAAAAAACAAAAAACAACCTAACAAAGCAATAGAAGGAGATTCTTTGTTTCCTGTTTGAAAATAAAACAGGAACTTTAAAAACATACCACTTTATTTTTGGCTGTTTCTGTCTTATAGGTGGGAATGACAAACCAATGGAAAGCAAATTGGAAGGTGATGAGAAGACACAGATTCTGAAAATGTGTGAGCATCGAAGGTAACTCTTACACAGAGGTGCACTTAACTCTGATAAATGTGTTGTGCACTGACTTTCTATTATTCCTGCAGTCATGAATGTAAACCTGTAGGATTACTAAATTAGATTACACTAAAAATATCTCAGTATTTGCTTTCCAAATCTTGAAGGACATGGAAGCCATCTATATGTTAATATCATTCTCTTCATATTGATTTGAACGTGAATGCTAATACAGCTGGATATTTTAAATTTAAAAGTCTTAAGTGAGACAAAACTATGAGGGGAGCTTTTTTCTTCCTATTTTAATTAATATTATTAACTTCTACAGAAATCTATTTCTGTATTACTGTAGAAATAGCAAAATTGGGCAGAAATGTTTTTGCTGGAGAGGCAGTGGTGAGTGAAGCAAATCAACCTCTAGCTCCAGGTATACTATCAGTGTAGGTCAGACAAATGCTACATTTTGGATGTTACAGTGTTCAGAGATTGGTACCAAGTTTTTTTATATAACTGAGAGCTTTGAAAGTTTTCTGGTTGCAGTGGTACCTCAAGTCTTAAAAGCAGCGTTGCACTATGACACGAAATAACTCACGCACTCGCTCCAAGATGCAAAAGAAGAAAAGGAAGTAACTTTTATTTCTGACCTTGCAATATACAGAATTCCAAAAATGACAGTGGATTGGAGGATGAAATTGCCACCTCTCCAGCCATACTGGCCAAACCAACAGTTCATCAAGTCTCTCCTCCCACAAAGAAGAATGCAAAACAATCATTATTTACATGAACAGTGTGTGAGAACTCCAGTAGAATATGTAAACATCAGAAGGCATAGATAACTTTAAAAAGAACTTTAAAACTTTTAAAAGAACAGGGCGACAAGCAAGTACCTTGAAATTTTACTGGAGGAAAAGTGGTGTAATAATAACAACTTCCTCTCAAAGCAGTTAACTTTTAATGCTAATTGATGTGAATAACTGTTTAAAAGTATTTATGCAACATCACTTCCGTATCATGTATAATTTTCCTGTGGTAGAAATGCAAGCCATTGATTTTGCAGCCTGTTTCTCTTGATGCCACAGCAATAGCTTTTAGAACCCCACTGCCATGAGTGCTATCACCTTTTTCCTGTAGGTTGTTGAACAAAATCCAGGACTGACTGGACAGTCTGAGAGCTCAGTAAACTCACACTAAACTGTCAGACAGGATCCAATTCAACACCAGATGCTCAGTGTTGCAGGTGGGATGAGTTGTTAGCCTCATCAGTAGTAATGAGGTGAAGGGAAGGTTATTGCATGGCTCATCAGAGATGTTGCTCTAAGCTCTTGGATGTCAGTTGCCAAATCCCCTCCCTTTTCCACAGTTGAGGAGTTATTTTGGTTCTGTGGTCACTGTTGCTCCCTCATTGCCTCTCCTTAGGCTGTTGTTCTGACAGCTTGTTTTAAGTACATTTTTTGAAGTGAATTATTTTCTTTAAGATTTCTCCTGCACACACAGGAGAGGATAACTCATCTGAGCTCATTCCAAAATGTAGGACTTGCAGGCGGCAGGCGCGGGAGCAGTCAGGAGAAGGAAATCATCATGAAGGCTTGTCGAGTGATGAGGAATTGACTCCCACAGAGGTGGATGAGTTCCAGAAGAGCAAAGGTTGGTGACAGTCCTAATGTGATGTCCTAGAACAAGATCTCTTGTTGATACTTCTTTTATTATTTTTTTAAGGAAAAGTAGAGGACTACTTCAATTGAGTTCCATATTTTTATTTGCACACTGTGGAAAAAAATGCACTCAGGCAGTTCTGACTAATGACTTGGGAAGAATGAATGAATGGTTGTAGATTTCTTGTGGTGGCAGCACTATACATGGCTTTTTAACCTAGAGGTTAGCTCTGACAGATTATGCCAAAGCTGATCTGGTGGTACTCAGTGCAGTGCTGCAGCATGTTTTGTACAAGCTGGAGTGTGAATTAAAGATTGGTTACAGTGTTTTAATTCTCTTGAGTGAATGGATGAAGAGGAGGAGGGAAAGGTATAATAGCTTTTCTTATAAAAGCAGAAGGGTTTTCATGCCTGAAATTCTATCATTCTGGAACTAAGTTTGAAACATAGTAGTTATATAAATCTGTGAAATAGATAATGAAGAAACTTGCCTTTCCTTGGTCTTTTGACACCATTTTGACACCATTTTTTTCTAAAACTGGGTTTTTATGGGAGCTGTTTCTAAACCATTTCTGTGTCAGGTGTGTCAAAGATAAATAACAAATGTAATTCTCATTAAAATATCTCCTACAGATGCATAAACTCTTCAGCTTATGCCTCAATAAGTTCTGTGATTGTTTCTTTTTATTCCCAATAAATATTGTCCATAGATAACGTTTTAGAGGATAGTAGGAAAATCTTTGAAGATGTACATGCAGATTTTTGTGACATCAGAAAAATCCTGTTGAAATTCCAGGAATGGAAAGAGAAGTTTCCTGACTCTTACTGTGATGCTTACATCAGTTTCTGCCTGCCTAAGCTGTTAAATCCATTGATCAGAGTTCAGTTAATAAATTGGAATCCTCTTGAGGTGGGTGCATCAGCTGACATTTTATGTGTGTGTGTATGATGTATTAATATGAAGAATGATTTTTTTTTTCTATAACTAGCACAGTGCATTAGAAATTAAGAAAACTGCTGTGTTTGTCTCAAAACCTGAAGTGTGTTGTGGAATCTTAACTTTCCCAATTTCTTTTCCTTCCAGCCCCTTTTGCCATATCTCCTGTAAAAACAGTTCTTCTCCTGGGTTCTTTGAAAACACTTGAATAATGCCACCCATTAAATTGTAGCTTTAAAACTAGTTTTGATGTTTTGGCCCATTCAGTGATGAGGGTGGATCTGAAATTAAGTGGGAATTTGGGTGTTACTGGATAGAGCTTTTCTCTTAATGCTGACCAGCTGAACAACTAACAGGAATAATCTTTCAGCAGAATTTTACAGAGTTGGAAGAGATGCCCTGGTTCAGAGCTATAGAAGAATTCAGTGATGCAGAAAACATACCTGAATCAAAAAGACATGATAATCATGATAAAGAAGTTTTGCCTAGAGTGATTGAAAAAACTGTTCTTCCCAAAATTACAGGTATGGTAAGATTGTATTGAAAATGTTCACTGCAGCTATGCAATGAAACCTTAAATAAAAAATGATAATATCAAATAATGTTGGTGATATCACAGTGCTCCATGATGTAATGATTGTGTAGTTCCACAGAGTGAGGTTGAAGTAGCCTCTTCAAAATTATTGTGAGAGGCTGAGCTTTTTAGTTCTGTTACATTGTAATGGCTTCAAACTAGGGCAGATAAGTAACTTGCAGATTATGAATGAAATAAATTCTATTTTTTTCAGAGTTTGTGAAGAGTGTGTGGGATCCTTTATCTACTTCACAGACAAAGAACCTTGTACAGCTTTGCAATAACATCTTTGGCAAACAAATCCTTTCCAAAAATGAGTCCAGCCGAGCAAGAGAGGTAAAAGCTGTGATACCAAGAAAGGGGAACTTCACCCGCTGTGTACTTTTGTGTGTGCTCCTGTGGGCACTGAGAACATTTTCCTGAAGTTGTTTGGTTCTGATTACTTTTTTGTTTTGTCACTCTGTATTAAGATGATTTAACAGTTAAACTTCCAGCTCTCTTGATTTTCTCCTTGTTGGAGATAATGAGGCAGAAATTAGCTACTGTTTGTAGAAAAATTCTGCCTGTATCTATCCAAAATCTGTTTGTAGATCTAATCTTCCTTCACTGCAATAACAATGATATGCATTTAATTATCTTTCCAATTTTGAAGCAGTATATTGATTTAAAATCCAGGCTTCAGAACGTGGTGATAAGGAACTCTTATCTGATTGGATATTATTTCACATTATTCCACAATATGGAAATTGTGCTTAGCTTTCCCAGCTCAAGCTTAACTGTATTAATGCAGAGAGCATTTATCTGTGAAATTGAGCTGTTTAGCAGAGGCCCAAGAGCCTATAAAGCCTATAAAGCAGCAGAGCCAAGAACTTTCGGCATGTCTGAGAATTTTTTTTTATGGGGAGTCCTTCAAATTTTTTTGACTTTTTGCAATAAGACCTAAGAGAGGTCCCCTCCCATAAACATAACAAAGGAAATTGCTACACTATAGCCCCACTTAATTTTATATGCTAGTAAGGCTTCAGTGGTGCATCCCTTAAGCTTTTATCTATAAAGTAGACCTAGAATTTTAAAACTTGAGAATCCCCAAAAGTTGGTTAATTGGTGAGGAGGAAAACTACTATGTAATCCTAGCAATCCTTTAATAATTACTTTTATATACACAGTCACTCGAGTAAGCCCTTCTTAGCCTGATTCTTGGTTTATTCTGATGTAAAGCAGGATGTTTGTCTAGTGAAAATGTGGTGGATTAAGTGGTGAAATGGGATGGATATTTGGGCCCTGAGTATGAAAAGAAATATTTTAAAGAAAATGCTTATGCCTTCCAAAGTTTGCTGTTTTGAAACCATGGCTTAAAGTCAAATGATACAACTGATCTTAGCAAGAACTTAAAATAAATAAATAGGCTTAAAAATAAATGTAGGTGGCAGTCTGTGGCACCTGAAAACACATTGCTCAAAAATGCATACTATCCTAGCTATGGTGACTATTTACATAGAATTTAACGTATTTTAATGGAGTGTATTACTTAGTTTGGTTTTAATCTGTACAGTTTTCCTACTGTAATAATATGCAAAAAAAGGGCTCACCTAGGGATATAGCAAAACCCTCTAGGCTAAGCCTGTAGATAATTACAGCTGTGATTTGTCTGCTGTTCCTATTTTTTATTCAGGGTTTCAATGTGTGTTATATACAAATGGCAGCTGCACTTAGCTCTAAGATATCAGACCTCTGGATGAGGTAAATAACCTTTGAGGTTGTTACAGATGGAATATGAAGGCTTCCAATAACACATTAATAATTCTTTTTTAATAGGATTTGATGAACACTGTTGTCCTAAGAATGAAGAAATCTGTAGAGGAAGATGTCTTTATTCCTCTGTATCCTAAAAGGTAAGCTAACCCTGTGACTCTCTTCAGTTAGTATTTTTTTTAGTTCCTCTACCTTTCTCCCCTACAGATGTAGATGAAATACTGTAGACATCAATGTCTGTTTATCTTCTTTTAAATGCAACAAAAAATAATTTTTAACTTTTTCTTTTTCTTCCCATGACCAGCACTGTGGAAGACCATTCCTCACTACGTTCAAAATTTCAAGAAAGACGGTTTTGGTCAGCTGTTAAGGTAGAGAAAATAGGGCTGGTTTTGTTCTGTTTGTCCTCTCTGAAATTCATTTCACTGGAAACATCCCAGACAGTATTTCAGTTTTCCTGCTATTCATGTTGGCTATCCTCCTCCTTGACTCAGAGCAGGCTAATTTTCAGGTAACTTAACTTCAAGGTATTTTACCTTCACAAACACAGCCTTACACCATGCTCAAAAATTACAACTGTAATATTTTATAGTGATAAGAGTGTCTTCTATTAAACTTGTAACAATTTTAGCACACTTACAGCTCTACAGAGTCTTTGTCTCTTCATTACTGCAGCTGCTCTCCAATGTTGTTCTTTGGGATGGGATTGTCGAGGATGACAAGGTCCGTGATTTGGGACTGAGCAAGTTGCTGAATCGCTACCTTCTCCTGAACATCCTAAACACACCACTAGGGCCGGATAATATTGAAAAGTGTAATAAGGTAAAAGATAACGTTCATTGGAAGAGGGTGTATGCTAAAAGCCTTTTGTTTTTCATGAAGAGGGTCAAAACTGAAGATGGAATATTTAAAGAAAAGAAAATTTAAACATTTAAAATTTTATTTTATTTTTTTTCTTTTAAAAGCCTTGCTGCATAAGAGCATTTTAGAGCAAGTACTGGTCTGTATGTTCTTAAGCATAACTACTTGGACAGATAATCAGTGTTGATTTGAAGGAAAATGCACTAATAATGACTGAACCTGCAAGAAGGTTCCTGTCAGAAATTATGTGACTTGGTTATGTTGAAATGCTTGCTAAACTTTTTCCAAATATTGTGTAAACAGGTGGTTGCATGCCTCCCAGAAAGATGGTTCCAAGATCTCAAGGGTGGATCAACTCTCCCTGAATTACTGAACTTCAGCCAGCACTTGCTGCAATGTGCCCGTGCACTACACAAGGACAACCACAGGTAATGGATGAGGCTGTCCTGAGATTCAAGTGCTTCCCCAAATACTTTCTGTTAAAAATTTTTTTAATTCCTTAAATACCATATATTTGACACTTTAAAGTATGCTCATGTCATGTATATATATATCAAAAGGAAAAGCTAGACTCTAATGTGAAGGAGTACTTGAACAGTCCTCGTTTACTGTGAGAGTTTGAGGTGGTTGATGTTGGGTTCTGTTAATGATCAGAGCAGCCAAGGTCAGGAAGCAAAAATTATAGTTTAGACAGGTCAATGAAAGTGCTGCTATATTTTTTAATTTTTGTTTTTTAATTCTTAAATAGCGATGAAACAAAAGACGTTCTTCTCCTGCTGGTGAAAATTGGAGCTTTGCATATTGTAGAAGACTTCACTGAAGAGCATGAACTTGAACACCTTAAAGCAATGATTGGGAAATAGAAACCTTTGAAGGAATGCTTACATTACTGAAACAAGCCTGGTATTCACACTAAACCAGTTCTAATATGAAATTTAATTAGTGGATCCTGTCTACTCAGAGGTAGTAGTAATCACTTTCTTGGTGTTAAATACATGAGGTGTTTTTTCAAAATGTCTTTTACTGCCATCTACTCCTAGATTAAGGAGTATTTAGAAGTTGCAGTTGTCAAAGCAATGGTTCAGGCATTCTAAAATGTGTGACAGTGCTTTACTGCTGTATCCTTCTTGGAAGGAATCCTGCAAACAGAAAGTGCCTGTGAGCTTCATCACTGTTAGCCAGTAATCAACTTGACAAGTTATTTTCAGAATTAATTGCTAAATACCATTCTGACTCAGCAGTCACTGAGCTCTTCCAACTTGTGGTCCACAGTGATTTTTGGCAGGGTTATTGTTAAGTCATTCCTAGTGAAAAGGATTCATGATGCCCCTGAAACAGGGGTGGGTCAGTGTGCAGGTGAGGAGCCAGGATTTTCATCACAAACATTGTGCTGATGAGAACAGAACAACTTCAGTTACTTTCTAGTAATTGGAGTTGTAGAAGTCTCCCTTTGCTTTCCAGTAAGCTCTACAGAACTTAATATCCTTATTTGGATATCATATTTTTTCTAATGTTTTGTAATTTTGTATATTTGCAATAAATATTGTTATAGAATAACAGGGATGTTTCATTCATCACAGAATCTCTATGTTTGTGACTATTTCTCCAAAGACTTCTGGGAATAGAATTTAAGTCTTGAAGATTTAATCCTTATGCTTTCTTTTTATATTTTTTTAAGTTTAAAATATATTTTTGTAAAGTACTTTAATTGTAAATAGGTTTGATCAGTATTACAGACCAAATATTAAAAATAATTTTTTTTTTTTTTGAAAATAAAATATTTTACTGTGGTAATGACTCTTACAGCTCAATTCTTTAACATGTGACAAAATGTTATTAAGTTGTATGAAAAAAGCCCCTCCAGCTCCACTAACTTGGAGTAGCTTCAGGATTTATGTTGCAAATACTGCTTTCTAATAATAAATTTCTGCTCTTTTCCCTCTCAGAATGCCAACAAAAATGCAACTGCTGATCAGCAGTCACCACAAGCTCATGACCTCATTGCTTTTCTCGTTCTGCTTTGCCTCATCCCAGCTTGCCTCTAGCACCAGCCTTGTGCTATGACAAAAATGTAATTGATGTTCTATCACAATTTAGCTCTGTAGATGTTTGTTTCTGGAAGAAAGATTCCTTGTAATGACTTGTAGGCGTTGAGAGGGCAGTGGACACTTGAGACAAAGAAATCTGTTCATGCTGAAATCTGCAAAGGTTAACTTTATTGTTGCTTTGCCCATGTATATACAAAACTTGACAATTGATCATCCATACAGTAAACTAAAAATATTTTCTCAGGAATTCTAGACTGCAAAAAAACATTATTATTTTCCAAGTTCTTCACTCAGTTCTTTCCGAATCTTTTCCTCTATTTTTGAAGTATCATATTCTCTCAGCATGTCAAACTCCAGCCATGGCTGGCTCCACTTCTGTGCTGCTTGCATTTTATGTTCTGGTAGCTCAAACTTGATTCCTTTTATATTGTATTTGGGTCTTTCCCACCGTTTTGACCATGGTTTAGGTTTCATTCGTACCTGCACCTAGAGTGAAAGATTAAAAAATTATAAAAAACCCAAAACAATAAAAGGTATTAAGGAATTAGATTTTTGATGGTGATCTTAGCAAAAGGTGACAACTGCTGCTCTAACAGGAGGAAAGTAAGAGAAAACTGACCAATCTCTCAGTGTGTTTAGTAACTGCTGCTCTGTGGGTTATCATTGTATCTTGTAAAACCTTTTAATTAACACTGTCTTGATTTATCATGGAGTCCTTAATTGAAACATAAATTAAATCTAACTAATATTTTGTAGTTTTGCTCCTTACTAAGAAAAAAATAAAAGCACTAGAGGAAAAGGGAGGAATTATACTGAGTTTCTGCACAACACTGGCAGGGTCTGATGCTTTCTGGATCTTCCCTGAGATGCAGATCATAGGTGACTCTTCCATCTTTCTTACCTTGTTTCCTGACACCAACCACTTCTGAATCAGTAACTACATTAATAACATTACTGTGAGAAAAGCTTTCCCTTCTGCACAGCTCTACAGAGGAATGTGGAGGCTGCTTCTCTTTGCATGTCTTCACAATTAACTCCAGAGGATGGCAGGTGTTTACATTCTCACCATTCTTTCATTACAGAAATGGCACAATTTGCCTGATTTTATCTACTTTTGTCACCCTGGTAACTGATGTAGCAAAGAGCTGCTCCAGCCTGCCAGGATAACAGTAATAAATGGAAGTTGTAAATAACCCTGTGCTTTCCCTCTGAAACACGTGGCTCCTACCTTGTTCACAGGAATTTCCTCGTGGCCCATACGAGGCACAGGTTTCATGTTGACATCGAAAGTGCTGTACTCGGGGAGGGCATCCCGCAGGTACATCAGGTTCTCATCCAGCCTCTTCTCCAGCTTCAGCACCTCGATCGCCTGGATTCGAGGACTGTACAGATCGTAACAGATTTCAACCCCTTAGAGACAGAAAGCCTGGTTAATGAACCAAATTCAGGAGAAATACTAACACCCAAGCACTACTGCTTCGGTTACATGTTCCTGTATCATTGCAAACTGGTTTTAGTCCTCAGAGCACTACAGTGCTGTGTGCACTTGTGGCTGTACTCCTGCACTGTGCACATTTCTTTGTAAATCAAATCTTTGAGACAGAATGGCTTAAGAGACTTGAATGGCTCAAATTTAAGGAAGATGAGCTTGGGTTTTCAACTTTATTTCCTTTTGGTTACAATTGTTGTTAATTATTCATCTCAGTGTAGGTGTAGTGTGTATGAATCGGCACCCACCCCTTTTATATTTGCCCTCAGAACTCCACTATTTGCACTGCCCCTGATTTTGTCATAATCTAGAATATGAACCTGTGATAAAACTCTTTGAATCTGTTGCTTATTAAAACAGTTCACATGTCCATCCCTAGGTTCATGAAAACACAGTGCTCAAACTGGGCTGGTGTTTACATGGCAACAGACAACCCAGGCTCAAACATAAGCACAACCATCACAGAATGTCTAAAAGTTACTGTGTAGTCCCATGCCTTTCAAGTACAGAGCACATGAGCATTTCTGTGTACACAGTTTTAAACTTGCACAGTACTCTAACAAGCAGACTCATACTTTCACTTCAATCTGCTGTTTTCCTCCCCACAGACTAAATTTCTACAACATAGCACATTTTTTGCTGAACCTTTGCAGCATAATTACCACAGCTGAAACCCCACCTTGGTCTTCTATGACATTCCGAAGGACGAAGGTAGCGCCAAGCCCTTTCCCTCCCCTCTGAATGCAGATCCCAACAAAGCGGTTGGATTTGTCACTGGCGTAGGGATTCGCAGTCGTCACAGCGAGCACACTGCCTGCCAAAAAAATGGATTAAAATTAATAGCCTGTCCCAGTCAATATGTGCCAAAATGTGGGAAGAATCAGACAAAGTGCATCTATGCAGGTGCATTTTGAAAATACTTTTGCTTCCCATCAAAACTGCCAAAACCAGAAAAAAACTGCTAAGGTGATCTGAATGAATATAGATTGAAGTGATATTGCAGGTTAACTGCAAACTTTCTTCACCTTTATTTTTTTGCTCTTCTCTATCCAAATCGAATATAATTAATCAAATGTATTTTTTTTTCTTTAGCTCTACTGGTAAACCATATGCTCTAGAGCCAGGATTTCACATATGGAACACGTTAGGATTACTCTTTAAATTCATCAGGATGTAAACATGAGATTAAAATATGAAGTATTACATACAGAAACACATCCAGTTGATCAAACACGCCTGAGACTATATTTTATGCTATTCTACACATGACCACACTGTCTAACACCCCACATATACTGCCAGAATTAGGAAAGTTTTAGTGCTGATACCGACCGACATAGAATTCTGGGATGTTGAACACTTTTCTTCTCTGTATCATATCCTTCCTTTCTATATAGTATTTAAGAGGATCTTTTCTCCCTCTGGGAGGTATAAATTCAGGGCTTAGGAACCTGTAAGAAAAGCCAAACTTTAAGAAGTATGAAACAAAAGCATTTGCATAAAAATTACAAGACAATTCCAAGTATTTGCCCTAAGAATTACCAGCTGTTGCCTTTTCAGAGGTATAAACTGCAGTCTATGAAGTCACCAATTTTATTAAATTATTATTTTTTGTTATCTAAAAGGATTTTTGGTAGGATTTTGATGTTTGTTTTGGGTTTTTAAGTGGCTTTTTTGTTGTTGTTGTTGTTGGTCTTTTAAACAGATATTTTCCCAAACAGTAATGCATGTTGGTCTTAGAGGAGCTGAATGAAAGAGGACAGTTCAATTTGTGCTGTTGCAGATTAGAAACAGGTTATTTCATGGTTTAATTGTAATCCCCATGACAGAACACTTACTATTTGTTGACTTTAATAACAGATATGGAAGAATCTATGACACAAATTTTACAAACTGATTCTACAGGACACACCACATAAATGTCCTTTTAAGTTACAGAAGCTTAGACAGACTGGTAAAATTATTTTTTTGCTACAAAAAAATTAAACCATGCCAAAGAATTTCCTCATGGTCTGGACCTCAGTTACTGACTGCTGAGCTGAGTGCACACTTCCTGACATGGACTGGCTTGAGCTGAGAACCATTTTCCAACAGATATCTGGATTTGTTCACTTCGGTTTGGATGGCAAGATCACCTGCCCTCAGAGCAGATGGATGAAGGTGGACTCAATTCAGTTGTACAGATGCATCTTAAAAGTCCTGGATCTGGCCAGGAGAGAAGTGCCCAACAGAGAGGAGGACAAATGTAAATCTGCCCTACAAACCTTATGGGGGCTGTGGGGGCAGCAGAAGCTCTGGCTGGTGCTGCTGCCCACAGGCAGCCCCACAGTGGTCTAGTGAGGTGTCCCTGCCCATGGCAGGGGGGGCTGGAACGAGATGACCTTTAGCTCCCTTCCAACCCAAACCATTCTGTGATTCCATGAAATGGGTTGAGGTGACATCAAAAACGCCCAGAATGAGACATCTCATGAAGGCTACCAGAGACACCAGGTCCATGTCACAGCCAGTGATGCACAACCAGCCTTGAGGTCCGAGGCAGACACAGGACCTGTGTCCCTGTCACACTAGAGAGATGCCTTTAACAGACATAATCTCCCACATTAACCCCAATTTTGCAATAGTATTAACTGCTCTACATGGTTTTTTTTAGGTTTCATTGCTTTCAGAAACTCCCAAAACAGTATTTTAAGGTGTTTTGAACAAATTTCAACACAAATGGTCTTTGCTAGAATTTGACAAACTGTGGTGGGTTGTTTTTAGTGTAGTGATGCCTTGACTCTCTAGGCAGGTGCTCACAGGGAGCAGCTCAGGGGGACACCCTCACCTGCTCTCCTCCTTCCGCGTCTTCCTGTCGATAATCACGGGCTTCGGAGGCGGCTGGAATTTCGGTGGCTTTTCACCGCTGCTCACTCGATACCCCGACAAAGAAAAGCACCCTGTAAAATACAAAACAACGTTTAAAACACCGGAGATTTCATGTTTAACCTCTCCCCACCAAAGCAGGACATGGCACCGCCACCCGCCCGCCAGGCCAGGAGCCTCCTCTCCCCCCCGCTCTGTGGGCCAAGGGGAGGGCGCGGGGAAGGGGGGAGGTCCGGGGGTGCCCGGGGGTGCCCGGGGGTGCCCAGGGTGAGGGCCCGGGCGGTGCTCACGGCCGGGCAGGGCGATGCCGGCGCCCCTCGGCACCAGCCTCCCGCAGGCGGCCGCCATGGCAGCTGCGGCGCGGCCGCTACGGCGAGCGCGGGGGGACAAAGCGC